AGGCCTTATCTCCAAACTCATCGCCCTTAACATCCCACACTTCTAGTTGGGGGTTATCAGGTCCATTCTCACAGATAGAAGCTTTCGGGTACGCGTTCGCTCCCTTCTCTCCGCCAGTAAACCCGTCACAGTCGGTGTCCCACAAGGCTCCAAACTATCCCCTATTCTGCTTAACCTGTTTTGCGCGGACATGCCCTCCCACACATCAATTCTGACTGCTATGTACGCTGACGACATTGCCATTATAAACTCTTCAAGTACCATTCTCCAATGCACAGCAAGAATAGGTTTCTGCCTCGGATCGTAAACTGGTATCGGAAATGGAAATTTTTCATTAACGAGACAATCTTCTTTTCTTGTAGGCTCCGAAAACCTCCTTCCATCATCGTCAAAAACCTCCCCATTAATTGGAGCAGCTCTATCACCTACCTAGGCGTTGTCTTCGACAGATGCCTAAACTGGCGGCACCACATTAAAACGACCCATAACAAGGCTCTGGGTGCATTCATCGCATTTAAACCTTTCTTCCTTAATAACACCATCTCCCAACTGACCAAAATTCGTGCGTTTAACGCAATTATCAGGAGCATTTGCTCCTATGCCATTCCCGTCTGGGGCTACGGCCTTCCCCACCGCCTGGAAATTTTGCAAGGTACATACACGCAGATTCTTTGTTCCGCACTTAACTACCTCTGATTCGTCAGAAACAGCCAAATTCTGATTAAAACGGGTTTACCTTCTCTCCCCGAGACTGCAATCAAATTCGTCAGTGTCAGGCCACGCAAACATAGACATAAAGACAGAATGGAGCTGCATTAAAACGTGCCTAAAGTCAGCAGCTACAAATATCCTAGGTCTTAAACAAAACGAAAGAAAAGGGTGGAAGAACTATCAGGGGAAGTTCAATTTGGGTTTAGAAGAAAAGGAGGAACGCGGTAGGCCATTTTAACAATGTTAAGTGGGACAAGATATTAAATATAACTAAAAATATATGGATGAGTTACAGAGATAGAAGGGTGATACTTAGTTTGTATAAAGAGCAACAGGCAGTTATAGAACTGGAGCTGCAACCTAGAGATGTTAATATTAGAAAGGGAGTCAGATTGGGATGCACATTGTCATCGGCACTTTTTAATCTATACATCGAAGAGTCGATCAACATCATTAAAGGCAAGACAATTATAGGGATAGATATACAGGTGCAAAAGATTAGTATGGTTAAATTTGTAGATAATATAGCAGTATTAGCATCTAGCAAGGAAGAGTTGAAGGTAGCTTTAAATAAAATCGAAGCGGAATTGACAACAGGGTACTGTATGTAAATAAATAAAAGTAAAACAAAACTAGTGATAAGCAAGGAACGAAAAAGTAGGGAAAGAATGAATATAAAGATAGAAGACGAGAAAATAGAAGAAGTGGCAGATTTTAGGTATCTAGGAAGTCAGTTAGGTCAGGACGGAAGGAGTAGTAGGGATATAAAGCAGAGGATGGGCAGGGTCGAGTCGCCATAAATAAAAAAGTCACTTTTATGCTGTCGAATGATTAATTTAGAAATTCGATAAAAAGGTTGCTAAAGGTGTATGCTTAGAGCGCGGCGTTGTACGCGTGCGACACATGGATGGTGACGCGGCAGAAAAGAAAAAGAAAAGCGTTCGAAATGTGGTGTTACAGGCGAATGATAGGATACTGTAGTTGGAGATCAGAAATGATGAGGTATTAAAAAATTGGATAGCAGAGGACTCTATGGAATTCAATAAGAAATAGGCGAGATAGGTTGGTAGGATTCCTTCTGAGATATGAAAGTCTACTGAGACATATTAGAGGCAGAAACGGAAGTTAGGATGGGTAGAGGTAGACCAATATTAAATTAGTGATCGCAAATAGTGACGGATGTAGGATGTTCTAGTTTTAGGGAAATGCGATGATTAGCTCAGGATATTCAGGAGTGGAGGAGCGGGTCCAATACGACTGAGGACTGCCGACCTTATGATGATGATCAACTAGATCAAATTTGTAGATTCTTTATTACTAACCCCAATGAAATTAAACAACGTATTTGACGAAATTATAAGTGAAATAGGTTAGATGAGCCATTTGCCAAATGTTTATCCGATCTTAGTACATGAAGAGATTCTGCTGTTTGTTTATTGTACTTCATACTACTACTAAGATTAGTGTTGGTATTATATGTTAAATTAATTCCAAGGTCTGTATACACTAACTCATTTTGTAATCACCTATGGCGTATTATGAATCTAAATTTTTAATGAGTGAGTGAGACTGAGGGAATGAGTGAGTAAGTGAGTGAATGAGTGAGTGAGTGAGTGAGTGAGTGAGTGAGTGAGTGAGTGAGTGAGTGAGTGAGTGAGTGAGTGAGTGAGTGAGTGAGTGAGTGAGTGAGTGAGT